TTAAGTGGGGCTCACCGAAATACATCATGACCGTAAATCACTGTGATCTTCAATTAGGATCTGACACCGCATGCTTCTCTGCATACGGCGTCCATATACAATAATTTTTACTTTTATTAACCCGTGGATTATTACTATAATCCTTAAAGCATTTATTCCTTTTATTTTATTTTTCCTGCTTCAATTTTTTCAAGATAATAAATACTCCCTTAAAAAAATTCACATATATTACTATTTCAATCCCTAAAAATTATATGCTTGCCACGTGTCAACCGTAGGAGTATACGGATCTCTCCCTCAGATACGTGTCGGTTCATCATATTCTAACGGGTTTATTCTTCCCTGCCGTAAGCACGTGTTAAACCCTTCCATTACAAATGATCCACCACACCTCCTCCCAATAAACAACAATGGATCTCCTCCTCCTCTTCACCGCACCCTCCCCTCCTCTCCTCAGCCCTATCTCACGCTTCCCTCTCCGGCGAACTTTTCCGGCGAAGATCGGGTATAAAGGCAGCACCTTGGCCGCCGCGCCGGCGGTTACGGCAAGACGGAGAATGGTGGTGATGGCCAAATACCGGCCGAAGGAGGAGGAGCACTTGCCGGAAGTGGAGAAAGATGAGAACTTGGAGGCGGAGGAGGAGAGATTGACGCCGGAGGAGTTGGAGAAGATTGCGGCGGCGATGATGGATGGGGAGGATGAAGGGCGTACGCCGTTGGATTATGATCGGAGGGCTAGGATCTTTCATGAGAGTTCTCTAGTCTTCAGGGAAGTTAATAGGGATTATTGAATATTAGGGCTGAGCTGTTTAGATGAAACAGTGCTTTAATGGGGATTAAAGCCGCTAAATTTGTTTTGTTTCTTATATTTCAGAGTAGCGCCGCGCAACTCGTGCGGTGTTTGGTAGCACCTTTGAATTTGATTTATTATGGAGTTTTTGAAATTCAACCAAACATAAAAGTGTGTTTTAATTATCAGTGTTCATGTGAAATTCATGTGCAACTTTTAATAAATTTTGAGTTTTCTTATTCTCATTATTATGATAAGTTATCGATTAATGTAGTACTATTTTATTAGTTTTGAGGACTTCACAAATTTATCTAAGCTTATATTTTGCTATCTACTATATTTCAGGGACATTAGCTTACATGCCACACAAGTTTTGTACATT